AAATACACCTCAAGATGGTCCTGCATTGCACACACCTGGAGAGTTTGCATGGCACATTTATTTACTGTGTTTTGTGTTGTCAGATAACTCTTAACACCCTACGTTTCCTGCGTATCTTAACAAATCCAACCTGTAATGTGCTGTTGGCTCTCTACACAGTGACCTCACGTGATACAATGAATACAGACAACAGTTTTGGTATTCAGCATCTTTATTTCACATCACCACCTCTCCCTATGTGTAAAATTTTTGTTAGTTTTAGTGGCTTATGACACCATTACAGGTGATGCAAATTTCTTCTCCCCAGTTCCTCCACAGTGACCACTGGGACAAAATATTCATATTCTGTATAAGGCGACTCCTGGTCTTTGGTATCAGATGTGGTCATTGACAGATGAGTGCAGGACATCAGCTTCTGCCCCGTGGACTCCTTCCTCAGAACTGGTTGCTGCGGTACTACTCAAGAGAAAGCTCCTCCAGCTTTCTGCCATATAGCACCCTCATCACAAGCTGCCTCCAAACATGACCTGTATTCTTTGTCATTCAAAGATAAGGCCAAAGCAGAAGTTCTAAAGATATCTTGGACCTTTTAATGATCTGCTCATTCCCTTAGTAATCCCCCTGCGCCTCAAAGAATATAATCAGTTTGCCCATTCCACACACAATATCACTCCAAGTGAGATATCCTGCCTATTAGTGATGCTACAGTGAACCAACTTTCTCTGACAAAGTCTGGTTTTCTGTAGCTTCTGTTGCTCCTAGGAAAGTGAATAAAAAATGGCTGGAGACAATTTGCTTTCAGGGTAGCAGCTGCTAACTCACTACAGAAAGCCTGTGAGACTGGACTTCATCAACAGTGTCATACTTCTCAGCAACTCTCAAGATTGCTCGCTGTCAGGCTCTACTGGCCTGACACAACAGCTATAAATATTACGCTTGCAAGTTTTCCAAGACAGCAAGAACAGATGCCTCTTCCTGGATGGAAAACATTCTGCTCTTCATGTAGATATTAATATTCAGTGTCAATCAGCAGAGTGGCACAATATCCTCCTCTTTGTCAAGAGTCACTTGCTATCCTACACTGGCCTACTCAATGCCATATTTTCTCTATGCACCACACTTTCTGTACTCATAGCACGAAGTCTTGACCAATGAAGGTTACAAAGTAGATGTCTTCAGAGGTCACCTTGCAAGATGGAGGTTACCCCAAAAAAATAACATAACTACCTTGGATATGAACAAGGAGTTTTAGGGAGTCTGCTTCAGAATACATGTACCTCCAAGCTCATTAGCAGACATATTTCTAATCTCTTGATTTGAGAGAGCAATGCACACCTTTCCTTCAAGATCTGCTGGTTTTTAGGATCTTTCACGAGATAAGGCAGGTACTGAGCCTCTTTGCTGTAGCACGGCTGTGGCAATTTGGGTATATGGACTTCCTCAGTGCAGGAATGAGGTATCAAGAAGGTTGCCCATGTTCCTGGGCATTCTTATGCAGAGTTCTGGGAGACTGACCTATTTGAGATCAGTCATCTGATCTCAAATCACATGGAGGATCAACCTCCATCTCTGTGATCACTAAACCACCCTTATTCATCCCTGATTACAAACAGTGAGAGAAATTTCACTAAAAGAACCTACCTTGCTAAGTGAACTGTCTTCTTCATGATGTTCAGAAAGAGCCCTTAGACTTTTGGATATCTCAGTACTCATTCTCACAATTATATAGGGAAGACATAGATAGACACCTATCTATTTGTTCAGTCACCCTGTAATAACCTTGTCTCACTACTTCTCCATCATGAAAAGTTCCTTTGTTTTTTTTATATATATACACACACACACACATATACATCTATAATACGTCATAGGGTGACAAAACATGTATATACGTTTTGTCACCCTATGGTTAGTTGTGTGTTCTTTAGAGATCTGCTTAATATTTCCCCCTGGAAAAGTAGCCTACCCACCCAAGATGACTCTCAGCTTAGTGTTCATAGCTTTGATGAATTAACCATATAAGCTGACAGCAACCCATTTGCTTCTTTGCCTTTCCACCAGGCTTTCTGGTGGCTTCGATCTTTAGTAGGAAAACAGGAAAATTCAGGTACTAACTAACGATGTCTCTTATAATTGTCGTCTTTTCAGTTAGACTCTTCCTCCAGATCATTCCAATGTGTGCTCAGTAAGTTGAGTTTAAGAAGTTTTATTTATTTTTTCTTGAAGTCTCACACTCCTTATGTGAATGCTTCCCTTCCACCTACTTGGGACCAACCCATTCTGTTTCCACAGCTATTTGTGTCATCATCCAACAGCTACTAACAAGTCAAAGGGCAAATCTTTGCCAGGACCTAGAGAGAACACTGCTATGCTGAACCTGTAACTAGTGATGAAAACAAACCACTAGAACTCAAGCTGCACTAACAGCCTCATTACAGAGACTCCCTGTTCACAGAACTAGCAAAGTCACTTTGAACTTTATTCCTAAATTTAGACAGCACTAAGTCATCACAGAGGCATCCAGAAATGATGCTGTATTAGGCAGAGCAACCCTGTATTCACCTACAATGAATGACTCAACTAGGTAACCAGCAAATACATGTTTAGGGATATTGTTTGGAATCACCCACAGAGCAGAGGTGGACTATTATCAGAGGAAAGAAAAAGAAAAACCAAAAAGAAAATTACTACAGGAAATAATTAAATTTCTCCTTTCCTCTTCCCTTTCTTCACAAAACTCTTTAGCTCTTGGGAGCTCTTTAGCTCTCTGAAACAACACGGAATCAAGGGATATATAATACTCACTATCCTATTTGCGCAGCAGACCTAAGGGTAAGGCTGGGTATACAAGTGCCTTGCAGATCTTAATTAGATAAGACTTTCAGATCTTCAATACCAGCAGCTTAAGCACACCCTCAGCATGAACGTATATGCTCAAAAATGGCCAGTGAGTGATAAATAGCTTTCATTAATGTCGGTGTTCATTAGAATGAGATAGAAGAACAGATATTACCATTAGAAATGCATTTCATTCCTATCATCACAATGATTTTCAAGTTATACCTACCAAAAGAAAAACTTTGCTGTCAGGCTTGACTTTGTGTTTCTCCATGTATTTTATGAGGCTACTATTGGCATATCTGAAAAATACAGTTAAACAAAGACACTTCTGAAATAATACAGTATTAAGAATATGGAACTGTACCAAGTGATCACAAAAACATTTACCAGCCCTTAATAAGTAAGCTGTAAAAAGAACTGCTACCAGAAAACATGTCAGATATTTATCTAGCAGTTGCACACATAAAGTGTGCTTTTCACTAACAGGAGTAGTATCAACGGTGTACAGATTATTTCCATGGAACATGCAACTTTTATAGTGCATGGATAAGCTGTTTACATGGGCATATGACAGAGAAACTCAACTTGAAGTTTATACTCTAGTTTTCTAAAGCAACTCTGCCACAGAAAGTGTACAGCAGTTCGTAACAGCGCAACAGCTAAGCTATTGTTTCCAGTTGCAATTTGGCAGAACAGTTAGTTTACCATTCTGCCTCCCTCACCCCAGCCTGCAGCAAACCATACAGCCCTTACAGTTCCCAAGTTCAAAAATGCCCCAAATATGTATGACCTGTGCCTTGCCTTTAATCTACAAATCCAGAGGTTATCTATAGCCGTTTTCAAAAGAAAGAAGCTTTGTGCACAGGTAAGCTTCATATCTTGTCTAAAGCCAGCGTAACGAATCCACAGCAGAGCTGGCAACAGAATCCAAAACTCCTGAATCCATGTCCTCTGCCTTACAACAGAGTCTGTGCTGCTCCTTACACGCTCTGATCTATCACCACCACTTGACTAATTTAGCCAAAGCACCCGGAAACACTAAAAGTGGAATATTGTCATATTCCAGATAGGCTTTGCATCACAACCTATTGAACACGTTACCTTCCATAGAAGTTTCTGTCCACTACTTTACTGTCTCCACATATCTGCTGGTCAAAAGGACCAGGGAGGTGCTTCCGTAGTCTTTCTCACACAAAATGAATGAGGTTACCTTGAACAGCTAATACAAGTGGTTTAAGCAAGCTCATTCATCTGTGCCTGCCATAGATTAAATGGCACTTATGACGGCCCCTTCTAGAGAAATGAGGAGACCACTCAGTTGATGCTTTCAACAAGCAGCTGAGGGAGGGAACACCATTCAAGCAAAACAGCTAGTTCAAAAAGGACAGCTGTCACAGTGTTAGAACTCAAACAGTCCAAAATTGCCTCCCCAAAAAGTCAGAGGAAAGGAGCCAATTTCTGCCTGTTACATTCACTGAACTGTTGTTGCGTTATCATCACTTACGTTGTTCTCCTAAAATCCTTCTGAAGAGTTGGATATTCTGGCATCTTCCTTATGTCTTCCCAATCTTTATCTTTGGTGGTGGGGGGGGAAAAGGAGAAGCATTTACAATTCTGAAAGTGTAGGTTAAGTAATACATGAGAAGAAATAACTACAGCAGGTGTTTGACTTTCTGTTTGTTGGCCAATGCTATTGTTCCATAATTGTCAGCATTTCCAAATCCATCAAACCAACAGCTTCTTTGTACCTATACAAACAACTAGTCATTTCCTTTAGGAAAAAAAAAAAAATCAACTCAGTAGCATTATGTCTGATGCTTTAATGAAAATAAATTACCTGCAGGGAATCCCATTACACTGAAAATGCGATCTAGCTGATCGTGATGAAAAGGATTACTTGTTTTGATGTCCTCCTGACGACAGTGAAATATAGGTTCTGAAGTCAATAGTTCAGCAAATATGCAGCCAATTGCCCAAATATCTAAGAAAGAAGGAGGATAATTCATGCAAGTTTACTGTATTTCATCACTCTTTTTTGTTTCTGCACAATTTCTCAACAACCTGTATAATCACAGTAAGACAAAATGCCTCACAGTGTAATTACATACAGTACTTTAAAAATAATGCATTAATATAATACATTAAAAAGGGTAAAATCTGGAGATACAGGGTTTTTTTCAATCAAAATTAGAGTCTCCAAATTCTGTTTCAAGTTGTACACTGGCATTCCAGCACTGAACGTATTCAGAGTTATGGCAGAAACCTACACAATATTTGCTGACAACATAGCTTAAAGGGCATTCAACTGACCATCAAAACCAAACCATAAATCCCCAATAAAGACACATTGAAATAAAAGTTCTATCACATATTTCAGAACAATTCCAAACAGATAATTGATAACCGAATAAATACTATGAAGGAAAAGACTAATAACTCATATGTTTAGCCAAATAGTGCAAGGTAGTTAAAATGGAGAAACAAAATCCTAATTTTAATCAAGGGTAGAAGAGTGATTACCAAACTTTAAAAAAAAAAATCCTACTTGACAGCTGACTCCCACTGGAACAATACTGGAACTGTCTCATCTACATCTCATGTACATACAGAAAACAGCGTGATATACTGAAGTTTTAATGAGAGAAAATGACAACCTTTGTTTCATAAATTTCTCATTAATATGCTTTTCAAAATTAAATCTATTGTGGACAAGAACATTAGTTTCATTTACAGGAGAAGAAATTTCTAGATTACATGTATTCATTCTAGTTACTACTATCACCACCCATCTTAGTGTTCTGTATGACCTGAATGCTTTACTATGCATCTTAAAATGAAAGTGTGAATTTGTCAGCGAGAAGAAGGTTCTAGCAGAACAGAAATGGATTTGCTACATTGACAAATACGTGTCTGGGATATAACTCTGGAAAAAGATGTTGAGATCAGATGAATAATGAGCGTATATTGCTGAATACAAGAGTGTTGAGACTTGCTTAGTAGTTGAGGTTAAACTAGATGGCCCTGGGAAACCTTTTGGATTTTATCAAATTTAATAGCATAAATATAGAAAACAATTTACCCTTAATTTATAGGTCTAAGAAATAAAAAAATTACCTAACTGGAGTTTGGTTTATTAGATTCAGACTAAAGAGAACACCAAGAGAAGTCTTGTTTGTTGCAACTAATCTGAGACTCAAAACCCCACCTGCTGCCAATGGTGGTGTTTGGCCCTGCTGTTTGTGAGACACATGGTCTCTTGAGGAAAGAAAAAAGCACTGCTCTCTTTATGTAGGGAATGAAAAAAGAGCCATCACACTCTCTTTGCCTAAACAGGTCAGTTCCGTTTCCATCACCATTACAGGTATGGAGCTTGGGGTGTCCCAATTTATAAGCCTTTCTCTCTACTTCCTTTACAGGAAAGATTGATAACATTTCATTCAGACTTTACAGTTTTGTCAGGGTATAACTTTCTCTGTGCATTACATCACTTTCTCAGGGTTTTATCTTCCTTTGATTTTCTTCTTAGCCTTATCTGCATGAAAACAAGATCTTTAGCGCTTAAGATTTTACCTGCTCAAGCAGCTAATGCAGCATATTAATCACAACTCCTGCCTGGGTAGCAGGCATAAGTTATCTACTCCAGAACGGAAATTACTCACTGTTTGAAGAATAGCATCTTCGTTTAACAGTATCTGTTCACTCATTTTTATACTAGATAGAAAATCCTTCTGGAGATGGTTTATCTAGAGGCCAAAGGAGTTGCAACCCTCTTGGTTTCCATGGCTTTCTGCAGTGCTCGCTGTCCATCACATAGTGAGGGAGAGGCTGGGCCACTGCTCATTATTCTATTCATTACTGCTCTATCCAGACTGAGCTTTTCCTTTTAAAGAAAAAAAATCTAGTATTCTTGTTGACAGCAAAGCTGAACTGGGAAATCTCCCTGATGTGACACAGCAAACTTCAAAACTCCGTTCTTCCTTCATCAGCTGAACAGTGTGAGAGCAGAGCCACTGTGGCAATGCATTCCCACTTCCTGACTCCATGATTAATGCAGAGAGCACATTTTAAACCCTTTGAGAATTCAGAAAGACAGACGTTGTACCAACTGGAAGTTACATCTGAATAAACACTGGTAACTCCCAAGCTGGTGTTGTATTTTCTATGGGATGACATTACTGGACAAGTGAAGCATGAGAACAATTTAGCTCTGATCAGTCATTATAGTCTGTAGTAGTTCATAGTGCTGGGTTTCAACCCTTTAGGTCTCTTGCCAGATACTCTTCAGCTTCAAAGAACTAACATAAAATAACCCAAAATACTTAGTACAGAAAACCTGAAGCTTTAATTTCCGTAAGTGAAGATTAAACAGCTGGAAAAGGCCTTATAGCCAAGCAGCTCAAGCAGGTCAGGGTCTTCCTTGTTTTGTTCTTTTATGTAACCTGATCTCGAACACATCCTTGGCACATATTGAAACCATTCTCACAGTTCTGCCAAGTTCAGCTAGTCCCCCTTTTTTTTTTTTAAATAACATTCATAATTTACAGTAATTATTTACCACGTGGCACCTTTCTAGCAGGAACTCCTTGTTAAATTCTGGCAAGTTTAAAAGCTTCATCAATACAAGCAGTCCTAATAGGTATCTCCTACATTGTTCATATTAGTCAACCAAATACAAACTTCAGCTCTAACTATGGAAAAATGTGTCAATAATTAGCAATTTCCCTATCCAGTGCCATTTCATATGTTTTCAGTTTGTGGTCCCTAAAAAAGATTAATGATTATTACATCTATTCCAAATCAATTCCAAATAAGAAGCACTACCCCTCAGAAGTGGGCGTTTACAGGGGCAAAGCTTAACACGCATAAGCAGTATTTTTCAACTACAGCACATTATTAATCTAGTGCACATCTGCCTCTAGCACAAGAGAAACTTCTTGTTATGTTGTATAACAATTTCATTATAAACCAAATTTCTGTTTAAAAGCCACCACCAAAAATAAGAGGCAAACTACAGACAGTATCCATTTTAACTTGTTATGTACCAGAACCACTGAAGACAGGGCCATATAGGTCCTACAAGGTTGCATCGGATACTAAATGTTTTCCCATCTGATGTCCCAGGAGGATCCTAATAAATATACAACCATTCCTACAAGGATGGTTCTGTTTCCTACACTTTCTTCTACTATCATTAGGTTTCAGGAATGATCTGTGGTAAAAGGTTTTTACTGTTTGTTTTCCTGTTGGTGGGGTTGTTTTTTTTTGTTTTGTTTTTCCCTTTGCCCTCTGAGACTTCCACACTCCCCACTTTCCCCAAGTTTACACTGAACCTGAATGCAAGCCAGTTTTGCTCCCTGACACTGGAAAGTGAATGCCTTGTAGCATACTCCCTTTCCCTAGACTCCTCACCGAACAGCTTGCTAAGGTCCCATTCAAACCTATTCACAGTGAAATATCCTTCCCTGTAACAATATTACTCAAGTACTATACAATATTTTTGTAAAAGGAAAAAATAGCCTTTTAAAGATGGTCACTTGTGGTTGGTAAACAGACCCATATATATGCCTGGGTGCACAGATTATTAGAATATTTGTATGGCTGCCCATGTCCCAGTTTTAAAACCTGTGACTAATAGCTTTATAGATCAGCTACTAAAGCTGAGAAAATCCTGCACGTCCCACTCTAGTGCCGTACCCAAGGAGCACGTACAAAAGGATGCTGACATAGTTGTTTTATTGATAGGGCTGATTAAGCAGACAAATGCTCATATATTCTTTCCTTTCTATGGCACAATAATCTCATTTCTGTATTTGTTCCAATATTTTGGAAACATTCTTTAAGAATATTATGACAATTTAAGACAATAAGACAATTTATTGAGCAATAGCCCTGACTCTCAAAACAAAACATCTTTTCCCATGCATATTAACTACAATGTTTCATCGAAGACAGGACAGAGTCCAAGATGAAATACTTTACGCTTCTTAACTATATCCAAGAAAAGAAATACATAAACAAGCTCTTAGCCTCATACAATTCTTTAATAAAATTCTGTTAAAGTAATTTAAGAATGGGAAAACACCTATTTAGCTGCAATCAATCTGTGGAATTCATCATTAGTGAGTTTGGTCTAGCAGCTTCAACCAACCTGCTTTTTTTTGTTTTGGTTTGAACACGAAGTCTAGAATCTAGGACACATCTGGATGCTGGTAAAGGAAGCAAACGGTGGATGGACACCAGAATACAACTTCTCTACATCCACCAAGGGCTAATGCAACAACCAGGGTAACCAAAAGCTAGTTAGCACGGCCTTAGCCCAAACAAGGCAATCCAGGTCACCTATGAAGAGCTACAATGTCTATGTAAGATTCACCAAATCTTTCACATCATAGAATCATAGGATCATTTAGGTTGGAAGAGACCTTTAAAATCATCGAGACCAACTGTTAACCTAGCACTGCCAAGTCCACCACTAAACCATGTCCCTAAACGCCACATCTACACATCTTTTGAATACCTCCAGGGATGGTGACTCCACCACTTCCCTGGGCAGCCTGCTCCAATGCTTGACAACCCTCTCGGTGAAGAAATTTTTCCTAATACCCAATCTAAACCTCCCCTGGTGCAAATCAAGGCAAGGACAACAAATACACCAACATACTCGAAACCCGAAAGGTGGCCGCACAAGCAAACACGTCTAATTTTTTCAAATAAATATCAGTTGGTCTAATGAAAAGGTAAAACCTCTTTATAAGAAAATCTTGCCTCTCTTATGCTGAGCACAGCAGCAGATTCTAAGCTTATCTGGAATCTTTACACCCTGTGACCTAGGAGCATAGAGACACTATAGGAAAAGAGTTTATTAATTTTTACATTGGATTTAAATACCTAGAAATTAGATTTAAAATAATAATACACCTTTAAATGGGAATTTCTCATTTCTTTGTCCCGATAAGGTGACTAGAACATTCCTATGTCTGC